TGTTTCAAAGACACTTTTAAATGTTCAAAGTTTTGTTACTTAAAACTAGAAATGTATAAAAGTTATTCCAAATTTTAGATTTAATATTCTTTTATATATAAAATTTACTTATTTATTTAAATAAGCAAATTATGAAAATATTGATATAATTAATTCCATGTGCCATTTTTCTTTTGTTTTAATAAATTCATAACTATTCAGAAAAGTTCATTAACAACAAAATACAATACTCAACAATAAATGTATAAATTCTTAATAAAACTGACATACTTATTTGTAGGAGGAAATATAATTAATTTAGGTTATAAAATTAAATAATTGATAATTAAAAGTATTTAAAAACTATTACTAAATTTTTAAATGTTGTTCTACTAAATAAACTATCACACACAAAACCTTTTTAACCAGTTGAACTTTAACATAATTTCCGAACATTTTCCGCCTTCACCAAGGCCTACCTCAGGTGTTTAACAAAACTGATTTCCAATAATTGGAATGTTAGAATGATGATGTTCAACATTAAACTTTGATATATCAAATTCATGCAGTTGATTGACTTTGTTCAAATTTCTCATACAGATACTTCCTTGCATGAGCCACCGTCTCGCAATCTTTAAAGTTAATACAGCTAATACAATAATAAATTACATTAAAGTTCAATTACTAGTTAAAAAGGTTTTATGTGTGATAGTTTATTTACTCACTCCAGTAAGTTGAGAAGAAGACTGTTATAATCTTCTACTAAATTTGTCAAACAACATTCCTAATATAAAATCAAAAGCATGTAAAGCATGTATATAGCATGTAAATCATTAACAATAGTTTTACAAGTAAAAATTTTAAAATCGGTTTCATCATTTATTATGAAACAGAAAAAATTATTGCATAATAAAAATTGCCTTTCAAATTGAAAGTGAAAGAAAAAAGCAGTTTAAGAAATTAAAATAAAATCAAATTTTACTTATTTATATATAGGCTTATTTTGAATGTGCCAAATTCACATAAAATAAAAATTAAAAATAAAATTTAAAATATATATTCATCAAACAGTTTTATTTTAAAATTATTTATCAAATAACTCTAACTGATTAATGTATACAAGAAAAATATATACTATTGCATACTGTTTTCAATTAATTGTTTAAATAAAAATAAAGTTAAAATTTCAAACTATTTAAATCTTAAAATTACAATTTATTAAAAGAATTAGAGCAAAATTTGATTTAGGCCTATACTAATATAATAGTTAATTTAAAAAATTTACATATAATTCTTAAATTAATAGTCTATTAAATGTTCTTAATCATTTCTACTATTCAGATTTAATATTTTAAAATAATTAATGCTTTTTTATTAATAATTAATATATTCTTTCAATTAGAGATCAAAATCTTATTGATATTTAAATCATAATCATCAAAAGATTAGAAGTTAGTAATTAGATTGAATTCTGATGATGACAATCTGTCAATAAAAATTAGCTTGTTTTCTTTAACTCTATAATAAATTCAGTAATTGTTCTTAATAAAATATACACTTTAATATTTCAAAGCAATAAATATCATTAAAACAAATCTGAGCAATATTAAATTTTTATTATATTTCATACTTAGGCTTATGCAGTTTAAAACTCTATTATCTAAAATTAATGCTTAATTGATAAAATTATAAAGTCAATAAAAACTTCAACATTTTACAAAACAATATACAGTTTACTATTCATATCAGTATACATAAGATCAAAATACAACACAAAAGTTTTGCTTACATGACAATTCACAAATATTTCTATTAAAATTATAATCTGATCACAATACAGCAAAAAACTGGCCACTTTTTTCTATATATGTATATGTTTACACATTTTATTTATATTTTTATATTTATATATATATATATACATACATACATACATACTACTCTTGTGTATCTATGTATATATACAAAGATTAAAATATTTGAGTACAAGATCTTCACATTAAAATACACTTTTTTCACATCTGAGGTAATGGATATTTCCCTGGCAAGATGATTCTATCACTTAGTCCATAATATTTTGAGATGGACTTGAGAAAAACATGGGCATATTTTTCCTGACCATTTTTAAGGAGGGATTAATGAGGTCAATTCCCTGATCTTTACAACTAAACATATTAAAACTCTCATCTACTACAAACTACTAGGCCTATCTAACAACACTTGATTCATAAAAGAAACAATTTTTTCTTCCCCTCTAACAAATATAAAGTTGTATACAATGATTCTAATTTCATATATTGGATTAAATACATTAATCCAGAATCATTTCTTTTATTATTTTTTTTAAAGCAACTAGGCAGATGTTATCTTCACTAATACACAAAATACTTAATACAATTTCTGATACTTTGTGTGTATACAACACCCTGAGAATACTACAGTATCACTAATTTCTAAGCTATTAATACACTACATATAATGACTATGAGCTATTGAGTACCTATAATTCTTTTTTCCAGTTATTACAACAACAAGATAGGTTTAACTACATGAGTACAAGTTTAACACAGTTTTTCTCAGCAACAAACTATGCTAAACTCTTATTGAATGCATCATGCAAGAATTTAGTGTTTATTATAATAAACTACATGATTATATATTTGTTATATTGTACAGATTTATTTCCTATGAACTTAATAATTCAGACTTTATCCATTATTAATAGTAAAGTAAATGTAGCCTAATAGCTGCTTTGATTTTCTTTAGAATTATTTAAACTAAAGTATCTCTAGTAAAATAATTGATATGTATAAAAAAATGCAGCATTTAATCTCCAATTAAGTTTATAACTCCAATTTAAATGAGGTATTAAATCACATGGATACAGTTTGTGGATGATACTGCAACTGCCACCAGCAATTAACAGTCTGTACACATAGCTAAGAAACTTTCTTTTTAAATATTACAAGCACTTTCTTCTCTGACAGCACAATAAAAAATGTTTGGCAGAGTCTTTCTTGCAGCATATAAGTATAAAATCATTCATTTAATAGTGTCTTCAATCACTTTTTATGGAAGACAAATCCCTGATTTATATTTTTTTAAAGACATATATTCTATTTAATGATACACAATGATAATGGAGGAGCATAAAATTGTAGAAAGTAAAAATAAAGGAACTATTTACATGACTATTTTAAGATTTAGTTTAATAAACTAAGTGCACATGATTTAAAACTGTGCTTCTATTGTTTACTTATTACTTATTTTACAAAATATAACTTTAAAATTTATATATTTAATGGAATCATACTTTATTTCATGCATAAGTTAAATCTTATAAGTAATTTTTACAATAGCTCCATTCTATTAGTATTAAAATGATTAAATGCTTAAATTATATAACTATATTCTTGTATCTATTAAAATGGAAGCAATTTAAAAGCTGCATTCATTTAATTTTTAATAATGTTATAACAATAATTATCCTGTTTTTGTATTAGAAGTTTAAAATAGCCTTAAAAATAACTAATTTTTCTTAATCTTAGTAAATTATGTCAAAACATATTTTAAAAGAATGAGTATTAAACATTATATTCAGGAAAATACATAAAATATAAAACAAGTACAGTACATAGACTATTAAGACAACATAGAAATATATATATATTTGTAAATTTAAGACATGCACAATCAAAATTTAAAATAGTACAGTATCTTTACTTTTTTTTATAATGTGGCATTGTAAGTTTAATCATTCAACAATTATATTTAATCATCAATAAACAAGAGTATCTAATGAGGTAACAATACTTATTCCTGGCATCATCAATTACACTGATTCACTTCTTTCTCTTAAAGTCCTCCTTATTTCTATTCTCAGTCTTTCTTCTTCAATTTCTAGTCGCCTTCTTTCAACTTCTAATCGTTGTTTTTCGATTTCCAGTCTCTGTTTCTCTACTTCTAACCGCTGAGACTCAATTTCGATCATTCTAAAAGAAATATCATTCATGGGAAAGGGAATCTGTTGTATAAAGTTTCTTTCTGGAGGTATAAAAAATGGCTTAGTGGTAGGTATTCTGTCAATTCCCAAAACATTATCTGCCATTGAAAATACAGGTGGTTGAAATGTTCTGTTTGTAGATTCTTGTGGTTCATCAGTCACATTAGCACTAGAACCAGGTGCAGAAAGTAATGAATTATCACCTTCACCAGATAATGCACTAGCTTCACTACTTTGATAAAGAACAGCATCTGGACTCAAAGATACAACCCAACTGGCAACACCAGCTTCAATAGCAGTATCATTTAAGATATTAGCAACTTTAGCTTCCACAGGAGTAAAATTAGGTGGTGGTGTACCATCCCCATCTTTAACAACCCTCCTCCTTAAGATTTCCTTTCTTCTAGTAGCTGTCTGTAAATCCTGCCATTTTTTCTTGACTTCAGAAGCTGTTCTATCAGCACTACTATTCAAAGTATTAACTCTACATGCAATACCAGCCCAAATATTTTTCTTAACGTCTTTAGTAGTCGCATTATTAATTTTCGAAAACAACAAACTTTTGTTCCTTTTCACTTCTTCAATCAGTGTATCCACTTCGTCTTTGGTGAAATTTGCTTTTCTCTTCCTGTCTCTCTGCAATTGCGCCTGCATTTCTCAATTCCCGATCATTAAGCTGCCAATATTTTTTAAATAAATAGCTGTTTTGTATAAATATTTGAAACAACACGTGGTAACCACGTGGTTTGCATGTTTAAGTTGTAATCAGTTTCGCGTAACTGACATCGAGCACGAACAGTTGCCGACACGTGACATCAATATTCTATCCATCATACGATTCCTCATCTTTTTCTACCTCGAAAACGACAGCTCCCCGAACAAACTAAGTGTCGTAAGGTTACGCTTACGCATGCTTTGTGACAAACAGAGGCCCGGGTTTTACCCCCAAGCTCCCCCAATCGCATAGACACGTGCCAACTATCTACACTTGGGGGCGCCCATGACGCCCGTAACTTACCTTGTCGATGACCGTACGGCCCTGCGAAAGACGTTGGCTGGCCGACTATGTTCCGGTAGATGTAGTCAAGAAAATCGTTCTCATCTTCAATTCTCTTACAATCTTCGCCAAATTGTTGCTTATAAGTAGAAGCGATGTCGTAAAATTTCCTATCGGCTGCTACGTGTCGAATACTGCTACAATCTTGCATCTTCTCACGCTTAATGTTTTGCGAAACGTGCGGCGATAAATCAGACTGGCTAACGACTTGCCTCGTACTTCTTAACCTTAAATACGCAGGACGTTCGCCGACTGTTAATACATTTCTAACCGCTCCCGACGACAACCTGACACTCATAAGCATTGCACATGTCTACCTGAATTTTCCTAGTAGCCAGCGCCATCTAAAGGAACTATATCAATATAATATTTTGTCAATACATATTCAAAAGGGAGGGAAATTCTTCTGTATCTATCTAAACGCGATTGCCGCTAGCGCAACTTTGCGTCACTCGTCGCAACCTGCGCTGCGACGCGCTCTTTTATCGTAAGCGATCTTTCCAAAAACTTTACTTTAACGTCGAAATTCTACTTTTATCGAGTGTTTACGATTTTTAACAATCGTTACTGTCTTTTCTCTTTCGATTATCCGTAACGTTAACAACCGTACGAGAATGCGACTGATAGTTGCGATGCGGCAGCGAGACTTACGCGATTTTTCATCTTTATCTTCACTCGCAGCCAACTTTTATCGTTTCAGAAGTTAGAAAAACAATGTTAAAGTCTATTAAAAGTTTTTATACCTTTTATTTAAATATTTTTAGTAAATCCCAAATAAATAAATATTGCAAATGTGACGAAAAATACATAAATACATATAAATTTGTATATTGTCTGATTATCAAATATTATTAATTTAATTAAAAATATGCAATAATATAAAAATTATATTATTATTTTTAAAAATTAANTTTATTTTATTTGCATTTTTATTTAAATTTTTAATATTTTTATTTTTTCTATATAATTCTCACATATAATTCTTTACTATATATAAAAGTATTCAATAATTTGTTATAAAAAAAAACTTTTTATAAAAATATAATTTTAAAACTATATATGTCTAATCTAATTTGTTGTTAGAAATTAACAAAAAATTACTTTTTTACCTGTTTTAATCTTGTAAATAAATGTGAGAATAATTCTTTTATTGAGGAATTTTAACTCTTTAAAAACTTTTCAATTTTTTTTAAACTTAAATATAAGTATAATTAAGTTTATATATAATTTTTAAATTTTTATTATAATTTATAAAGTTTATTAGTTTTAATTTGTAGTTTAAAATAAATTTGCAAAATTTATAATTAAAAAAAAAAAACACTTTTTAATTCCATTTATACATTTTGAACAATAACTTTTTTATTTAATACATTCATATTAAGATTACTTTTATCTAAATATTTTATATTCCTTATAATAAATAATCTAAAATTAATATTTTATCAATATTTATAAAAAAAGTTTTATTTATATTTTTAAGAACTTCTTTAAACTTAATAAGTAAAGCTTGTTAAGCTTCTTTCTATGATTTAATCTTTATAATTATATTATTTATTTCCATAATTTGGATAAAATTGCATTTTTTAGATAAAATAAAATGGTAAAGATATAAGATTAAAATAATTAAAAAATTATTTTCTGTTAATTAATCATATCCAAAATATTAAAAAATTAATTTTGCTTGAACAAAAGAATTTCTTGCTTGTTATCTAATTAAAACTGCCAATTTACGATCTTCTTTATGAGATTAATGATGCCAAAACAGTCGATTGATTATGAATACTGTATAAAAATACAATTTATTACAGACAATATAGCAAGTTATTTTATAATACATAAATTTAATTTTTATTTCTTTCATGTATCGAAATTAAAATTATTCAGAATCAATTATAATGCCATGAAAATTTATAAAGAGAAAAATTGTATTTGCATAAATAATTTAGCGGTGAATATTAATTCAACTCTAAGAATTTAATGATAGCTTCGTTGAAAACATTTCGTCGTTTTGATTTTTCAGTTAAAATAATAAAGCTAGGATATCTCTAAAACCTTAATCTGTATATAGCATTTTGATTTGTAAATATATTTGTTTAAAATTATTTCTTAGAATATATATATATATTAGGCAAAGAAAATTGTCAATATATGTAGATTAAAACATTATTGAATTTTATATCACGTGCACAAGATTTTTAAAAGTTTGGAGGGGGAAACACATTAATTTTACAATGTAGGTATGTAGAGTAGCACAATATAGCAGACTAGAGGAATTGAACTTTTTTTTTTTTAACTCTTTCGAAATAAGATAATCGACAGAAAAGCTATGCACCATGAAAGAGACTGAAATCGAATGAAACCGTACAAGTGCCAACGTAACGATAATAAGTGATTACAATATCTATCATAGCAAAGGGACAGCTTCCTGTGGAACAATGGTATAATTCAAAGCAACCTTTAGTACTTTGTATGATATCCTATTTCCAGTATTCACGCGGCGATACAGTCGTGCATGGAAGCGCACAGGCATCATATGCTTACGTGCCCCCGTCGACTGCATCACCCCAAACAGACTAGGATTCGTCGTTAATAATGATCGTTGTAAGTCTGTAGCAGCCATGCTTCTTTATCATGGCGCAGCTACAAACAAAACCGACGATGCTGGAGTGATAACGGCAGAACGCGAAGCAGTGTATGAAAATTTGTTTGTTAATTTAATCGTCTGCCCTTGATGTATTCTCTCAGTATTCCCCAATATCTCTCAATCAGGTTTGGTTTTATTTATTTATTTTTCTACTCTTTTTGCCCTGTGGGCGATAAGAGTCCATCTTGGATTTGATGAAGCCCATAGTGGGGCGATCGGATTGTGAGAGATATGACCCAACATATTCAGACTGATCTGATTCGTTCCTGGATCCTCTGAGAGGTAGGCCGACACCTTAACTACTCGACCATCCAACCGTCCTCCCAATCAGGTCAGAACAGCCGAGATGGCAGGAAAATCGCGGAACAGCCACTCTGCTTTTCTCTCTGCCTGATGATGCGGCCTTTTTTAAAATCCTGTCAACTATGAATAATATCTTTAGTTACAGCATACAAACATTCTAAACACAGTGAGACTTTTTATAGGATACTGACAATGCAGATTGCCCACTAGGTACGTGAATCACAAGCCAAGGGACTCAAGTGTCGGGACTCGAAATTTGAAAAAAGTAAAGGAATGTTACCGTTGAAATGGTACTGTATATCATAATTTACAAATAATTCTATAGCTACGATTTTACGTTATTAGTTTATAATGTCATAAAATTGTGTAGAGGAACCTACAATCTTCCTTGAATGGGTATAATCTTCAATCTCCTTTCAGTCTTGTAATTATTAAAAAGAAGTCCGACGAGGTGAAAAATAACAGAACCCATTTCTAAATAGCATTCTAGTATAGAACTAAGAATCTTGATAAAAGTAACATTTATCCGCTATCCGGACGGTTGTAAGGCCAAGTTGATTAAGTAATCAGCCTATCACTCTGGAGGACCCGGAATCGAATCTGGACGATCAACTCAAAGAATTTGTAATGAGTAATGTGTTCTGGATATGTCGGTTTCTGTTCTTCACCTTGCGGTCGACCCACTATGGGTCTAATCGAACCAACAATAGGTATATAAAGGAAGGTCCTCTTAATGCCCACGGGAGGAACAGAGCGAAGAATTAAAAAACTACACTATCGGAACAGCAACTTTAATACGTTGTATTTTTCATTATTCAATAAATTTTTAAAATAA